ATTGATCGTAGCACGTCTACAATAATTGAATGTCTGGCCCATCAACAGTTGATCGTTCCTTGGCCAAAATGTTTTTAAAATCCTTACTAATCCGGCTTATAAGTGCGAAATATTACGGTCTAGGGGTCAACCCCACTAAAATTCAAGTTTTAAGCAACTTATTTTATGTAAGCATTTACGCAACTTATTTATGCTACTAAGCTATCTTTTTATATTTTAACGAGCAATATAAAGTGTATTACTGAATTTGTCTTCCTATTAGCATTAATCTCATGTCGTTTTTGGAGCAATACTAACAATATTTGTCTTCTTTATGGTATCTATCAGTTTTAAGTTTATATTCGTAATGGTATTATAGGTATTACGGAACACAATTTAAAATGATTATACCTTCAGGAATTTTCTATGATAAGTGTTTCTACTACGAAGAATACGTAACGTATTACACAGGCTAGCCTGTGTAATACGTTATTAAAAGTAAGTTTTCTATTTTTGATTATAATTTAAGGAATAACGGCCAAGTGCGAATTGAATTCGCGTGGTGAGGGTTCCGTTTAGCCTAAGAACGAACTTAACATTGTAGTTAAATGAAAGAGTATGTTCTCCGACATAATGTATTTGCAAAAGTAAGTTTATGGGTGATTCCTTGCTCTTTTAACTTCTGCGTCGTTACCCGCAACATAATAATATTTGATAAAATAAAATAATACTCTTTGGAAATAAACTAGATGCATTTAAATTTTTGTCATCATGTCCTGTGCTTGACTTAAATAATGGATATTTCAGAACAATTACGAACGGTGAATTTAATTTTTGCAGGAGGTGAATTACGCAGAAAACTAAAGAGTATTGAGAGATTGCCTATATTATTCGTCTTGCTTGTAATCTATGAGTGAAGTATTTTAGTAAACTATTTTATTAAAAAAATCGGGACTCTAAGTAATATTAGGCTTAAAAGAAAAATATTTGCAAAAAATATAAACGGTACATTTTGCATTTTTTTTAAATTTACTAATTTGGTATCTACACGTTTGCAAAATACCTTTATTTACAGTAATTCAGTGTTTGGTTTACCAAAACTGGTACATATTTCAATTGCATTTCTACTCCGTTTGAGTTTGTAAAGCAGATTTTGAGTAAATAGGTTGTGGCGGATAGACAGATAGATGAAACTATGATCTTATAAGTATTACGTATTTTAAGGCTAATATCTATTCTTAAATTATTATTTTTTATTCTAAAATTTAGTAGTGTCCCACTGCAGGTAAAAGAGATGACTAGAACTTTATTTAGGAATTGATAAGTTAATATAAAAGGTATCAATCGATTAGCCAATTGTAGTAGCTGGACCTTGTATAGCGTGCGCTATAGAACCTTTAAATTCCCTCACCCATTTGAATATTAAAAGTAACAAACATTCATATTAGATACTAGCAATCCTGTGCCACGCTTCTTTGGTATATTGTGGTTGCATTGATGAGATGAGGAACAAAACTGATGTGAACAAGTAATAAAAACCATATTTGAAGGTCCGTATGGTCCGTGCGGTGACGGATTAAGGATACAGAGTGTCACTACCCCTATTCATCTCGTGGGTGTCGTAAGAGCCGACTAAGGGAGAAAACTACGAAGAACAACATCACTGCAGAGAGAAGGAAAACTTGACACAAACCCTCTACCAACCCGTCTGGCCATCGTTCTATAGTAGGCCAAAACCTCCTTTCTAAGGAGAGGCCTATGTCCAGCAGTGGACTATTAAAGGCTGTTCATGTGATCTTTGAAGCGGTTTGAATAGCCTGTCTAAAATTGAGTTCAATCGGTACAGATCTTTTCGAATTTTTGAAGCGTACACAAACCAACTTAACATTTACTTAAAGTACACTTTAAATGAACTACAAGTTTATGCCATTCATTTTTTTAACAACGTCACTTAAAGTTTAACATTAGAGTTCACAACGGAGAAGAGTTTTGAAGGCGACGAGATAGAAAATCTTAAGTAGCGTAGTATTGGGAGCGAGCACGTAAACACCAACTTCAAAGAGCATTATAAAGAGTATAAATAGAGAGTACTAAGGAGGGCAACCACATTAATTCTCAACGACTGCCATTTAATTTACAAGGGTCATATTACCACCATTGATCCGGAAATCCATTACCGGGCCGTACGACAAAATAATTTTATTTTCTCTTCATTTTATCTTTTCGATACATTGCACCTCGGGATTTTTTTTTGATACTTTACAATATGAAGGGATAAAATCAGGTTTTATTTTAGTACCCCTTGTGTGACTATATACTGTCTATATTATATACTGCTATATAATATAGACAGTACTGCATGTTTTCTTTAATTATATGTTATCAGTATTAACGATTAAGTTTTGTTTATTATTTTTATAAAACAGTTCACTAAAGCTTAAAATAAACAAGTAGCCCGTCTAGTATTCGGTGGCTGAAAGCCTATAGATTATTCCAAATCCCTAACATTTCCCTAATGCTAAAACTTATAAATAGGCAGGACAACTATCTGTTTTAAACCATGTCCAGTGACTCCGAAAACAGAGAGGGTAAAACTTTCTATAAATGCTGGATAGAACACTGTAGAACTAGCTCGGAAATAAATTCATTTTTTTAGTGCGTAATGTTTATTTCATCTCATCATAGTCGTTTTAGATCATTATGTAAGTATCTTGCAATATTATCTCGAATAATAAGTAAATTATATAGCATAGGAACATATACATATGTAGGAGTGTTTTCATACTCGGAATCAATAATATAATTGGTTTTATGCTTATTTTATATTTAATCATGAGTAAGGCACCTTAAAGTATTTTACACCATAATATAGAATATCGAAATTTATTTTAAATAAAATATATTTAGCATACATTACATATAATTCACAATTGGCGAAGAGATCGCGTAAAATAAACACAAAAAATATTTTTCATTTTCAATTCTCGCTTTTAGTGGAGTGGCGGCAATTACATATTATTAAAGAGTTCTCTTGATATTTCATCAAATACATGTGATGATCACGAATTGCTTAGCAACAATACTCCACAGTTTTATGATAAATTGTTTTGCCTAGGGCGACTGCAACCCATTGCGACTGCAACACTAACCCTCTTCTCCGTTGTAATTGCAGGAAAAGGAGAGATTTTTGAAGTTGTTGTTTAATTAGGAAGCAAATTTTCGAGTAGAGCTAGTAAAAACTCACTTTGTTAGAATGTAGGTTTGGTAAGTGAAGGTTGTGTGTGTAGAAAAGCGGCAGATGTTTGGAGTAGATGAGTATTCGAAAAAAAATTATATTAGGCTCTATCGGCATAAGTAAGTGAATAAAGAAAAAAGCACCCGTGGAGAGCAATGGAAGTACTTCAATAAATTTGTGATCTCTAATCGAGATAATTACTGTTGACAAGAGACAAATCCATGAACAATTCAAAATACCGTCTCGAAACTATGGTAAAGAGCAGCGCAATTGCGGGGCCTGGCCAAAACCATTGAGACTAGATTGCTCCAGGATTAGTTTTAGATTGAGGGCGTTCGTGAAAGGATCTTACAGCGTTCTATCAGTTACTAAAATGCGTTGATTAATAATACTAGAAACTTAGAAGATAATGCAAGTATTGGACTTGCACTTACAACTGGTGACATATGTAAGCGTCTTTTGTTACGCTGTCACCCTTTATTTACTCAACACATCATCTAGAAATTTTATATAGTACACATCATCAGGGATACAGAAGAGAAAACAGGATAACTTTTTTCTGGATGAAACTTATCCTCATCCTCCTCGTCCAGAAAAAATACCTGTTTCCGAGATAAACCTCTTACGCTAGTGAAACCGCGAGCAAAAAAGTACTGCATAAAATAACTTAATCAAAAATTTTCAGGTATCTGTCACTGTAAATGAATGAGAAAAAATAATTGGAATGCCAGCCATCTTCTAATTGATTCATTTTGTGGAACCGGGTAAAAAGCGAAAAATGTATTTAATCTCAACTTGGCGTTAGTCGAATTAAACGAAAATATTCGGCGTTCCAAAATCCCGCACGAAGCCATTAATCGTTTTGATGTCACAGTATGGGACATTTAGTGTGACCCTTTTTATGCGACAACCTTTCCCGATTTACGTCCCTAATCACCGAATACCGAACGGCGAAAACTGAAACTCACGCGTTCATATGACTGACCGTGTTGAATCGGTCAGTTACTGAAAGCTACCGGTTTATTGTGAAGGATTCTACGCATGACGTTTCAGAATATGAGTCACTGTTTATTTTGTGAATCAACATATCGGCAATTTTATGATTTATTACTATTCTCACTGATATTATTATATATTCCATGACTTGTAATGGTTACTTTTACTTTATAAAATATGTTCTGAAATTAATGGCTCACATTATTTTTGGGCAAACTAAGTAAATAGTGGAGCGCAATTTTTGGTTGTGGATGCAAAGATATACTTAATGGAAGTAGATCAATTACTATAGAATTCAGTAGCATCAGCAATTTCCCCACTTTATTTGTGCAAGCCTGACCCAATTTAAACCAATTTGAAACACCAATTCGACCTGTATTTCTTCTGATTGTATTTGGCTATCGTTGAATATTAAGCTGATTCAACTGTTCGCTGTATTGTTTATCAAGAGCACTGCAAAGTGTCAGTTAATTTATTCATACAATTGAGTTCTGCTGATCAGGTCATTTTCTTTGAAAAATACAGTGATTAAAGTGAACAGTGGTTGAATGAAGAATACTGTGGTTGAATGACACCAAAGACTATTATGACTAAACGACTCCCTAAATATAAAGTGCTGTATGATAAGATGAAAATTTTATAATTAAATTAGCAATATCAGAAGAGATATCCCGTTTCACTGCGATCTTGTTTAAAGTAAAGATTTCTCTCCATACCACCAATACCACTCCATTTCTCTAAAGTCCACCACCAGACTACATACAAAGTTGTATTTATTTGTCCTTGACAGGTCAGCTGCAAGGATCAGGGTACAGTGAACAAGAGCCGGAGTTTCTGTCACCCCTTGAGAATCTGACAGTAGCCCAAGGCAGAGATGTACAGTTCACTTGTACAGTTCATCATCTGGGTACATATAAGGTATGAAAAATATTCCATTAAATTGAATCTAATTTATGCCACGTCTGTTACACGACTCGCTTAGTTGTGTAAGTATATTTGATACGTGAATATTAGTTGTGTTTATTTAGGAACATTACAAGTTATGATCGCTGTTAAACAGAATACAAAGTTTCATAAACTATTGTCGTAAATTGTGAACTAAACGTGTATCTAGTTGGTAACTTTTAGATTAAAGTACTTAATACCTTTTCGATTTTAGAGTTAGTTATTTTTTGGCGACGAATTTCAGGTTTATATTATAGTTTCGAGTGTTTGAAATTGAAATTTTCACATATTTATGGCAGTGGAATTGCGCAGGGAGCATCAATTATTTTTTAAACTAAATATACTTAAAACTTAGTGAATATTGATGCTTAGTTTCACACGGTTCGTTTTTTCACAAAGTAGCGTGTACGAACGACTAGTCTTGAACTTCTAGGTTTATGTATGGTATACGTCACCAACCAACCAACATCTACCAACAAACGTCTAACAAAGCCTAACATAATAATGTAACTTAATTGATTTTAACTGTAAATATTTTGTAACCAGTCTAATCGAGTCAAGTGTTGTAACAAGTATCGATTTCTTATAACAAATAATACATATCTATAACATTAAATCTACCATTATATATCTATACCATTCTAATAAAAGTGAAGATTTCTTTGTTTGTTAAATTATTCGTTTAATTGTTTCAACGCGCTTATTTAATTTTTACGTTGAATAGTATTAATTAGAGGAGGGTTATATTATAACAAACTTTCGAAGTGAAGCAATGATATTATCACTTTTATCACCACTTCAAAAGGAAGGAAACTAGTGAAAATCCTCTGACAAGTACTATTTCGATATATTTTGCTGAACTAAGAGAATTGCAATATATAATTGCAATAAAAAAAATTCAAATAAATATGTTATATGAATGTAAATATTTTAGACGTTTTTGAAGCGTTACCATTCCTCGAAATATAAAGAGTTTAAGTTAAAATATAATTACTATTAAATTTCAATGGAAAGGCTGCAAAAGCAGGCGGTATAAGCAGACATGCAGTCGGCCTATGCTTTGTTGACAAAAATGGAAAAATATTACTAATATGATATGAAGAAAATTTATATTGTCATAAGTTTTAATTTCAAAGATTTTGTAATTGTGCAGGTGGCATGGATAAAATCGGACACGAAGACAATAATTGCAATACATACCCATATGGTCACACTCAATCCACGGCTGTCTGTTACACATAACGGGCATAATACCTGGAAGCTGTACATCAACAGCGTCGAACCTAAGGATTCTGGGACCTACATGTGCCAGTTAAATACCGACCCCATGAAGAGCCAGGTAAGTTCCGTTTTGTGTCGTGTAAATATTCAGAAGAAGTAGTAGCGAAAAGTGATTCTTGACAGTACTCAATGAAATTAAAACATTGCCTCAGTTTATTACACATAAATAATTAGTTAAAAATTTAAGAGAACCACACTTTAATAACAAACTCAACGAAAAAGTAGATATTCAATGAGCTTGATTAGAGTTATGTGTGTACCTATATGTTTATAACTTAAAATGACACAATGGGAATTAACAAGTCCATAGGAATTATTTTTTTGTATTTCTTCGTCTTCATAAAGATCCGTTTCATTCCATATTATTTATGTAACATAAAACATGTTACATAGTAGTGTTATATAATATTTGCTGGCAAGACACATCTAATGCATAAAAGTATATTCTGTACAGCTACAAGCGTATTCAACAATATTAAGAGATATATAAGAAAGGTTAAAGAAATTATTCAAAAAGAAACTATGACTTGAACATGACTGAATGACTGAAACATGACTTGTTGAAATATAAATGTCATTATAAATTTAAACATTACATGACCGACAAGTCCTTGTTCCATTACTCTGTACCCCAGTCATGATGTGTTCAGTATTCTCTACTTTGACATTTTAAACTTTGACTGTTTAAAATTTCTGTGACATTGTGATATATATTTACACAAATAATTTTATTACTTAATGCATGTCAACCTTAACCGAAGGATCGTTCATAATAAGGTAATGATGGACTCTGGTCATTGTCTGTTTTGGAAAATGTAACCCTCGGATCTTTTGTGGATCATTTATTTCTATAAAAAAAAACGAAATAGTTAAACATTTGGGAGAAAAAATACTAATAACTATTTTAGATTTAGTTAATTTGTGAGAATATTAGTAATAGTAATCTTTATTGCAGATTATACGTTATACAGATCAGTTTTTATTATTAAGTCCAGCTATGTCCCGCCCATTGGGCATACAATAGATCCCATCATCATCAACACATTAAAATATAGGTCTGGTGGACATTAAATCGCACATATTAATATTCTGATTACACTGTGCAAAGACTAGATGAAGTTCAAATATTCGTGAATAAATGTTACCGACCGCCGGTAATATCGCTGAATCTTAAAAATATATCAGGTTATATAAATCTTTTTTATTACTTGTTCAATTTGCTGTCTCCTATTTGTTTACTTAAGTCAACATAGCAGGAATTTCGGCGTTTTTTTAATAGTACAAAATCATTTCTTGATAAGAACTGTATCGTGTATAATTGATATGAATAATCCTTCACTCCGATTAATATCTATCAATATTAGACAATAATTTATATTAAAACGGTTTAGTTCATGCTTATTAATTATACCGCAGACAACTCGAGTAATTACAAATAGTTTTCAGCTGAGCAGCGAGCATTGCAGGCTCTGTGGCTAATATTAAAATTTATGGAATCGATACGAATCGCCAGCTTGCATCGAGTCCACGTTCTGAACGTTCCATCAGATAAATTTTAAACAGTATTCTTTCGTTCTCGTTTCGTTTCGTGTTCGTCGTAGATTTATCACATATGGTAACTGTTTGAATGTGTGTTGCCCACTTTGTGCTATAGTTATAAAACTAATATGAATTCTCTTGAGTTGAGCAGTTAGGCGGTGAAAGGGTTACAAATCAAGTTTCTCATTTACAATGTTAGTCAGGAGTATTCATGTTATTGTATTATTTAGTCATCATTACACAATCAATGATTGAATATAAATGAATTGTTTTTGGAGGTACCTATCAAATCAAAATTGCTTAGATAGACTCTCTAGTATGTGTAGATTAGATTTACTTTGTACTGTAGTATTGAATATCTCCGTCAAGTCTAATATATATATATATATATATACATTTACATTAGACTGCACGTGGTCCCGGCGTTCTTTGTGTCCGTTTCATGTATGTTTGTAAAGTCCCGAGCGACGCAGGATATAACCCTAATGCGGGAGTAGTCTTTTAAAAAAGAAAAAAAATATATCTATCTTGACATGTTTTTTTTTTATAAATCTAGTTCAGTGATTAAACTAGCGTTAATATTTTTTTATACAATGACAAATTGATTGTTATCTTAAAACCTTTACATGTAAAACCACTACCCAAGGCTTAACCTATTTGATCACAGAAAAAAAAACAAAAAGCAACTGTCAGATAGCGATTGTTTGTGTTGTGTGGCTTTCAGTTTGGTAATATTGTCAGGTTTTCAAAGCGCTCTTCGAGGTAAGAAGTCTCTGATGCCTAGATTCCATAAAATGATCAAAATATTAATGTAATTTGTAACTCAAATAAGGCATATCATATTACACAAGTATAGTGATCTCCGAGAGCTCGTTTGAGGAGACAAAATCTACGACTAAGTTGTATGATACTAAAGTTTTCATATCAGTTTTAGTACTTTTGTGAACTCTAGAGAACAAACACAAACTTTCCTCATTTTATCATTAGGGTAATAAATTTTATTTATGATCCTCTCAATTGAGAATAGGATACCATATAATTCACAAAAATAATAAATTTCAGTTTTAATCAGCATGAAATGAAATAAAAAATATTAATATATTTCAATGTATGTTATCAACCAAGTAATCTCATCAACACGTCATGTCAAAATGTAGAGAAAATTGTTGTACCAAAGCGCCATTCCGAACGCGCCAGTCGTCGACATTGTAACTTTGATACAATATTATTATTACCGAAGCCCGCGGCTTACCTGCCCCTCTGCCTTTGCGTAGACTGTGTACTGTACATTATTCACAGCACGTGTAATCTGTACATTAGGCTTTTGGAAGTGACTGTCTTTCATACTTATACGGGCATTACTGAACGCGAACGTTTCGTTTACCCCTGATAAACGTTGATACTTTCTATTTATAGTGGTTATAACTTTTTAGCGAATAACTTTTGTTGAAGACGAAGTTAAACTTATACTGTTGTTTTGATTAAATCATTCATGATATTTTTGCGATGTGATTCGAGTTTTTGTATATATAAAATGAGGGATTAAACTGAAACGCAATGGTTAGGAACAATTAAAAATAACTAAAGAAAAGGTTTTATTATAATCATTTAGGAATTTAGGACTGAACTTCAGGAAAAATAACTTGATGACCAGAAACCTCTATGACGTTTGTGAGCTCGAGAGTAGATTAGAACTGCATTTTAACGAATTTTTATTACGAGGATTGACCTTCTGCTTGGTCATGCATACATATATACGAAAACCCCTTCCTAACACGTTAATTAAATTGTATACCGAATTCCATTCTTGTTCTGGTTTCAAAAAATATGAACAAAATTTTACCTTGAGTACCAGAGTTGAACAACTACTATGTTAACCAGTTTTATGTATAATCTGGTACATAAATTCTGCTGTTATTTTGACATAACAATTATTTTTCTTAAATATACAGTTTTAATTTAGTCGGGCATTCTCGGAACTTGACGGAGGCCTTTTTTAATGAGAAGAACGCAACACACAAACACACCTTAGTGAGATCGTATACCTTTAAAGTATGAATACTGCTCACAATATATTTTGTACATATTTTTAAGAATTTGTGGATAGCTTGCTTTGTAAAATTTGCTTAAATAGATGTTGATGACTTTAAAAGAGTAATAAATACATCATTATCAGGGTATCATGAGCACCTTGCTATCGTTTCAGTGGTTTTGTAGCATATGTTATAAGAATAGAAAAGCATCCATAATAAATCAAAAATACATTTTTTTTCAAATATGGCTCATGGTAGTTGAGAATAGCTTTCAATATGTATAAACATAACCAAAGTCTTAGAATATAAGCTTTGTATTAGATGCGCTCACCATGGACAGCAATTTTTAATCGATAATGGCCAAAACCTTCTACGGACTAACTCAAAAACTTACACAAACAGCAGAACTCTCAAGTTTTTCATTTAACGTAATGAAATCCAAGGTTTTAAACAACAATAATAAACAGTGTCATTCCAGGAGTGCCGACAGAAGTGAAAACTAGTTTTTTTATTTTATTATAACAGTTTTTTTTTTGTTTTTTTTCGATTCGAAAAGTTCCGACTTGTAATGAAAATATATATCAATGTGTTACGTATATACACAACATATATTTTGTTAAATATAACTATCTCATCAATGTATTTCAACCCAAACTCAACTCTCGTGTAAAGAGGGCCAACATATGTAGATACTTTTATACCGAGGTATCGTTAACTGTAACAGTGTCGCAGTTCAATGGATTTTTCCCATCTCAAAAAATACATTCTTTTATTTGTTGTTGTTGTCAACGCACCTAACTTATAAAAAAACGACATTTCAGTTGCTTACTAACCGACTTCAAAAAAGGAGGAGGTTCTCAATTCGTCGGTTTTTTAGGGTTCCGTACCACAAAGGGTAAAAAAGGAATCCTTATAAGATCACTTTCTTGTCCGTCTGTCCGTGTGTCACCACCGATTTTCTCAGGAACGGGTAGACCTAGCAAGTTGAAATTTATACCAGATACTGAAGTCTATGGTCCCTATTAGGTGTATAAAAATCAGGGTCCTGAGTCAACACGATAAAAAGATATGGGCAAATTTCGATTTTCGCGAAAACTTGTAAGTACCAAAATTTATCTTAAGTTTCACCAGTAAGACATGGCTTTTAACCAAAAACCCTACAGGTTTGGGTCAAAAACCTATATGGTAGTTCCCGTTGACCTAGAATCATGAAATTTGGCAAAAAGAAACGCCTTACAGCACAAGTAAAGGAATAATTCCAAAAAATACAAGGAGTTGAAAATTAAGATCAATTTTGGTACTTACAAATTTTTGAGAAAATCTAGGTAAGTACGGAACCCTCGGCGCACGAGTTCAATTCGTACCTGACCAGGTTTTTTTTATGTATGTTAACCGATTCGACCGACTCGAAGATGCCTGTGGCAATTTGGGAATATCATTTTTGTTTTAAAGGGTATACTTCCCAGGTGGTCCGTCCGAAATTAGG